TGGATGTTGCACTAGTCATTAATCTGTAGATCTAGACTGTACCCTAAGAGACTGGCATGTTGTGGTGATCAGGGAAGGATGGTGTAAATAGCGGAAGGGCAAATGATTTTTCAGCGGTAAAAGAGGAGAGCAGGAAAGCACATGAATTCATACTTGCATATCAGGGAGGTGTCCCTCACAGATGATCAATATAACTGTAACAGAATTGTGAAACTTTGAACAAAGTAAAATGTACAGCACTTACAGTGTTGAAGATAATCTCTAACCAAATCCAGGCTGCTGAAGTCTTGATCGATTCGGGAGCATCTGATCTGGAAAGAAAAGTTTATAAAAATGTAGTTCAGCTCATAAATTTACTGATCATTAATTTACTAAAGTAATAATACTTGGCAGTTTAACAAACCAAATTCAAGTATACCATATTTGCATGATTAATTAATTAGCAGCCACATTTGAAAAAGCACCTTGCAACCCCCCCTCCTCCCCCCACCAATCCAATTGCTGTAGAAACTGGAAACTAAGAAAATTCTAACTACAAATCCTTTGGCCTGCACAACAGTCAGGCATTACTTTTTCATGTTTTTCAGGCCAGAGGAGGCAAGCATTTGCCTTTTCTGGTCTCAAAAACATGAAAAAATAATGCCCGCTCCAACATACCAAAGCCAAAATGTAAAGTTCACTAAAATGACTCCAAAGGTAACGCAGTCCCTTATCTGAAAATGCCCCCCTCCCCAAAACCAAAAACCAACCAAGATTTTGAAAATGATTCCCCACCATTGTCCCTTCATCCTAACTCCAACAGCATAAAAGCGAACCATAGCCTGTGAATACAGCCATCCTAATTGCTCCTTGTTGCTATGGAAATTTCATGGAAGAGACATTCGTGCCACAATAACAGAAATGTCACGTTGATAATGTAAATAAATATTTACATAATTTCAATTAAAGTATGGTAGTCATGTTTGATTTTGTGTCTCCTGGCCTATCATAATCGTAAAGTTTTCAGTTCTTCTGCAAACATGCAGCAAATGCTTTCTCTGAAGAAGAATACAATCAAGTATAGACTGTTTTGCAGTAGATTCTTCACATTTACCTTTGACCTTCGTCTTTTGTCCGTCATTCTTAAACAATAGCTAAAAGAGTGTACAGTTGAATCCCTATAACTCAAACGCTCGCTAACTCCAATCTCACACTAATTCGAACCAAATTCAATTTTCTCATGGATTTCTTATGTAAATTTACTGTAATTTTACCCTTGATAACTCGAGCCCTTAATAAGTTGAGCCTCCAGCTAAGTTGAAGTAATTTTTGTTTCCCTACAGATTATTACTACATAATTTTACCCTTGATAACTTGAACCATGTTTCAAACAGGTGACAGCTTGAAAAAAAACAGTGTACAACTGAACTGAACTGAAGTCTGAAGCACTGAATTTATTTCAAAACAACCATGTTAATTCCTTGTATTTACTTTTTTGTCACTCCAGTTCATATTCTATTCATGTGAAAGTGTGCATGATACTTGCATTCCCTCCCCACTTTTCTGCTGACTTGCTTTTAACTCCCGATAACTCAACCTTTTTTCGATTTCCCTACACTGTAGAAGGTTTGAGTAGTCGGGGGTCAACTGTATTTAATTTACTACATCGACCAATCAGAGCTCCTGACCAGATTCCAGACAGATCTTAAGAAGCCCTTAGACAAATATTTCTGTTTAGAATAATACTGTCAACCTAGAACAGTTTAATACTACTGGAAAAAAGCTATCGGCCAATCTTCAAAATACCTGGCCACTTCTTTGCAGATCATTGAATAACAAAACTGTCTATTGTGTTATACCTCGTTCTTTAAAGCGTTCCGACAAAGGTAAATGATGTGGCCGGGTATTCTGAAGTTGCAGCTATCATATTAATATGATCTTTAGACTACCGTCAGGATAAATAATATGCTAAATGCACCGCACGTGTAACAAGCACAGAATTATTACACGTGCAATGTGAAATGCGGTTGAAGTAAAATGCATGAGGATTAAAGCAAGTTCCTATCAAAACGGCAGTTAGAAAAGAAACAAAAAAAGATAACACAGACCTCTTGAATTAAACTATTTTCTCTTAAAACATGCAAAACAAGGCTACAAACCTTTAAGTCCAAAAATACAAAAACATCGGTGAAGGGAACGGCGTCGCGCCATCTTTGAATTTTATGTTTGTTCCCAGTAGCCGAAATAATCACGCGGTCGCCAATTGTTGCCGGCTACTTGGTCGAGTCGGGATTTTTTGGGCTTTTTGAGTGATAGCCGGAAAACCTTGGAAAACCCAAGGAAAGACAGCCAACCTAGCCCTAAACCCAGCCTACGCTTGGGTGAGACACGCAAGAGGTTAGAACTAATTAATTTTTGTTTTTCTTCTCTTTCCTTCCCCACGCGTGTTTCGCGCTCTCGCGCCCTAAAACTCCCGAAGCGCCTGACCGTCACTCAAGATGACAGCCTTCATTCATGGTTATTTTAAGACAAACTTTACCTTTTAAATATAAAACATGTCCATCACCTGGAGTGTTTGTTCTCAATGTCTATCTGCAAGTAGTCTCCCTCGCAGCAATTTTTGTCTCCTGAATGGAGGTTGGACAAGGGTTTGTTAATAATTAGCCAAACAATATCATACAGTCGAACCCAGCTATTTCGAACTCGGTTAATTCGAAGTCCCCGCTATTTCGAACTCATCGTTCTTTCCCTACACCTAAAATCAACCCCGTTATATCGAACTTGTCAAAAACAGAGTACGTACATAAGAGCACAGCTGGAAACGTATTGCATTTTATTTGAGCTCGTGTCGCGTAATTAATGACTTAACAATGCTTGACTCACTTGCAGTGTCCCGCTAAGAAATTCCAGCTGGGTTGTTCAATTACAAAACAAAACGCACTGTTCTTCTGGCTGAAATACTCATGTATGAACTCTGCTCTCTATTCTGATCATTCGACATTGTAATTAGTAATGTTCTGAAATTTTTTGGTGATTACAAACGTATTTTATTAAAAAATGATTCATTGTTACGAATTTTACGCTTTCCCGGTTATTTCGAAACCCCGCTATTTCGAACTTTTTTCCATTTCCCTTGGGACTTCGAAATAGCGGGGTTCAACTGCATTTTTATTTTGTAGTGCCTCATAATATACTGCAGTCTTTATTTCATGTGGTTGGATAACGTATTAAAATCGTGATTAACTTATCTCTGCGATTTAGTGTGTTAAACCCCCGCAGAGTACATCGTTTTTTTAGAGATAGTTCATATTTTGAAAACTGTCGCGCCGTTGTGAACAGTGGTCAGTCACTTTTTAAGTGCTAAGGTGTCCCCTGAATGGAGGTTAGACCTGGGTGTCGGGACCTTGAAAAAGTGTCCCCTTCCCCTGAATAGAGGTGTCCCTTCAAAAGAGGTAACAAATACAAAGATTATGTGAACATTTTTTGTGTCCCTTGGATAGAAGTGTCCCAAAGGAGAAGTTCCACTGTATCGATTAAATCGAACAATCGGAGCCCGGCATTGGCAAGACTCGAGAGAGAGGGCGTACTGGCCGAGAAAGAAGCTACAAAGAGGTGCTTCCCCTTTTCCGTCTTCTCTCTTGCGCGCGCTTGCCTCGTTTCCTCGCCCGCATGACTATCTTGCATTGGGGGGCTGCGAGCAGAATAAATTGACCCCCGGCGGTACTCCCTTACATAGCCAACAACAACATAAGCTTTATTTGCATGATTATAATTATGTAGTTACAGTATTGCAAAAATTTTAACATAAAAAAAAAACAAACAAACAAATTATAGCAATGATAATGCAATGTAATGATTACTATAGTCAATCAAGTGTCATCAGCATGATTTGATACCAAATTATTACGTAAATCATTACATAATGAGACAAATTTCCTGACTCAAAATGTGAATTTACGGAAAAATTCTGTGAATTCATCAATTTAATTATTAATTCTGTGTAAGATAGCTGATTAAAGTCGACAAAATTTTGTTGGATTTGATTGTAGAATTTCTCCTTTGGGATTGAGTATTTTGGACAATGGTTTTTGAACTCTGTCTGTCCTTAACTCAAAAGGGTATATAATTTCGTGTGAGTCTGTCAACAGGATATTGCCTGCACGATTGATTTGACTTGCTAGATGAATTTTGTATGAACTCCAAGTATACCAAAGCGCCCACCAAAGCATATGAACGTGAATGTACTCTGGCGTGCATTTTTTCCTTTGTCCTATACAGGGTAACAAAATGTTTCAGACCCTTAGCGACTCACCTATACCTAAATATTTGGTCGAGAATTGGCCCCGTCATAGTACGCTTTTGATGATTGATCACTGTGCTACTTGGCAGTGCCGTAGCCAGACCAAACGGCCAACCGAGGCAGGGGGGAGTTGCTAGGGGGGTTCGGGGGCATGCCCCCCGAGAAATTTTGAACTTAAGTCTCTCGGAAATGCGATTTGCAGCGTTTTCTGGGCCTTTCGGTAACTTTTTTTCGAGTTAATTTAAGTGGAATTTAAAAAGCAATAATCAGAAACAAGCTACATAATCTGGGTGACCGTTAACCTCGCCAATGGTTTTGATCAGTATTTGTTCAAAAAAAAAATTTGAGTTAACGTACGTAGCCCCTTGAGATCGATGATATGGTAATTTTTTCATAGTATATTGACTGAATTGCTGAATTCTTTGTAATATCATGATGCGTTAAAAATATCCGATGATCGCTTATGTAAAATAAAAATGATCGGCGAAATTCGTCAAAATTTTACCGAGGCGAGTGCCTCGGTTGGCCTCATACTAGCTACGGCGGTGCTTGGGCTCTACCCATACGATCAGAAAGCTCCTTTACAGTGGTAGACGGGACTTTCTCAGCTATTTCTTTAATGCTCCCAGATAAAAGTGGCGTTGATGAAACCTGAATCAGATTAACCCCTGAAAGCATATCCTTAACCTTTCCTTGTTTTATGGTGGCTTACAGTTGTTGACAAAGGACTTATCGGCGTAAAACAAAGGGAACAAGAGACGGGCAGTTGAATTGGGGGTTTTTCTTGTCCTTTGTCACGAAATCGCTCCTCGTAGTCACTAACACATCTCTAACAATATTGTTAACGTATCAGAGAACTGACTGACAAGATGGAGAAAGATAGCTTTGGCGTAGTGGATTACGTAGTCTTCTCTATAATGCTGTTGATTTCAGCACTGATCGGAGTATGGCAAGCTTGTGTTGGAGGAAAACAGAATACTACTGCTGAATATCTCTTGGCGGACCGGCGGATGAACTTCTTGCCGGTATCAATTTCAGTACTGGTCTCTTATCTTTCTGCGATTTCACTTCTTGGCCTGCCCGCGGAAATATTCTTTTATGGGACGCAGTTTTACCTCACGTTAATTGGAATGGTTTTGACTTGTTGCGTGGCAAACGCTGTATTCTTACCGATGTTTCGTCGTATAAGGATAACTTGCATAAATGAGGTAAGGATCAAGAGCCCGTTTCTTTCGAAGTCCCATTGCTGACCGGGCATTGAAAATTAGCCATAATGGCCGAGGGACGGTCTGATCTTGTCGTGTATTCAAAGTTAGAGCCCTCAGACCATCACGTCGTGACTTCAAGACTCAGCTGTGGCTAGTCTGCGTGGCAGGTGTTTGAACGCAGGCTAAGCTGTAGCTAGCTGTAAAAGCAACCTTAGTTTCACCTGTGTAGTCTTACCCGGGTCTTATCACGAGATAACACGTACACTTAGAGTTAACAAGGATGAGCCAATGATTTTGGGCCCTCCGGTTTTAAGGTTTTCTTGAATGAAATTCGATTTAACTTCTCATTTTTAATTTATCAATCGGGTTACACTACTCGACATTCCTTAGGCACTATGTGATGATATGAATTCCATGACCAGTTGTTTATCATACTGACAATCTATAGTGACCTAGACAATGAGGATAGAAGGGTCAATCCCTCTCTAAATGCGTCATCAACCAGCACTTACGCAGGGAATCATACTTTCAAGAAATCCCTTAAGAAAAGTGATTGCTATTTCTTTTGCTGACTAGCATATTTAAACACTCCCAGGAAAGCCTACCTCCGGAGAGGGGGGACGTCCCCTTAATTGGACTAAACGTGTATGTACGCTCCGGTGAACAGGCTATGGTTTGTAGACTTTTATAGGGTCTTGACTCTTGAATCTTAAACGAGGTATAAAATTTCACTATTAAGCGTCTTGAACAGGATGCTTTTCTGGACCGGATACCTTTAAAAGAGTTCGAAGGTTGGCTATTTTGTGGAACCAAGAATATTTTCACTGATAAAGGCTTATTCCGGGATGCCAATTAAAAAATTGCTTAATTTCTATACGAAACGACATGAATAAGATCTTTTGTGCTAAACAGGGTAACTAAAGTTATGATTTTTGTCTGTTTGAAGCCAGGGGCACACCTCTACCCAAACGTCCTTTGAGTTAACCCTCCTTCCCCCCCGGTAGTGCCACAACAGTTAAAAATCATCAGCCTAGCTCCCGAGAAATGCTAAACACGCATAGGAACTAAAGTAGGAATTAAATGAGTGACCTAACAATTTTTTTTCAGTACCTTGAACAAAGATATTCTGTTGGCATGAGGATGGTAGGCTCTTTGCTCTTTGGAATTGGCGTGGTAAGTATCGCGGGTTTTGCGATTTATTTTTCAAATCTCTCGTTAGCCTGCGTAGCTGGCGGTATTGTGTAGTAGTCGAGTGAGATTTGGCGGTGTTATGAAGCAAGAGTGTAGCGTGATTGTGAGATGGCGTGATTTTATTATTCCTTTGATTTTGTTATTAATAGTTTCACTCGTCTGTCAGAGCGACAGAGAACTTGATGACAGATCGCATTAGAAACTAAAGCTGAAAGATTCACGAAAGTCACGATTTTGTGTAATGTGTGAGCGAGCCATTGTACTGTGAGGATCGAAGCTGTGAAATAAACCCTGTTTTGCATTAAAACTGTGATACCGTGAAGAACGGCCCTTCGGCATTTACGACAGGCGGCGGAGCCCTTGTAATCCGCCTCGTCCCTACTCCCTTTTTCTGGAACACGGCTCCGCCGCCAAAACTTTAATCTCGCACCCACACAATACCGCCAGCTACGCAGGCTAATCTCTCTTCCGTGAGACACGAAAATGACCACGCGTGTGACGTAAGGCGCGAGACAGAAGAGTCGCCGCCCTCGTTTCTCGCTCGACGTTCCCACGCGCGTGCACTCTCCATACCAAAGCAGAAGTCAAAAAGAGACTGCTCGCAGTCCTATTTGTACCCATCATTCTTCCCGTAACTGAAGTCCAAAACGGTCACGACAGAAGCTTTTCTATCTGTACAAGAAAAGCGAATTAGAGAACAAAACGAGCGGTAGTGCATAGAATCTAATCGAAGATGATAATACTGCGGAAATAATGAATAATCCCAACTCGGAGAGGCCATTGCCGACAGCTTTGGTTCGGGTAAGCTCGCTCGCCGTCGTTTCTTCCTTCAAGATAAAGATATCAGCCAACTGAATAACTAAGAACCGCGCTATGAGAATGATGTGTATTTCGTCAGTGACACGTACGGGTGACTCAAAAAAAAGAAATCCGAGTTCAACCAACAGGAGCTAAAACTGTGACAATTAAGTTTCTAGCCCAAAGGCTCTGAGGAGCTACAAAAGAATCATGAGAGCTAAAGCAGTTAAACGAGGTTAATGAGGGCCGTCGTAGCAGTGTCCAGGACGTTCGTTACATGCACCCTAGCTTACGTAGCAAGTGTTTCCCTGTAAGGTCGTCGAGAAAGTTGGGACGAGAGCAAAAGAGAAGAATGAGGGAGAAGGAGGAGGGGAGAGAAGGAAAGGTTTCCTCTTTTCCCCTCTCCCTCCCCCTTCCCATGTTTTTTTGCCCTCGCTCCACCTTTCGCGAAATAACTCAATTGAAAACGCAGGCTACGTTCACCCACACAAGTCTCCTGTAGCTCAGTGGGGGAGAGTCTGGTCTAGTAACCAGAACAGTGGCGGATCCAGCGGAGGGGCCTGGGGGGCTCGCCCCTCCCCTTATTTTTAGACCAAACTGAGGCCCGAAGGGCCGAAAAATAAATCTTAAAACCAGGCCGCGCCTTCTCTCAGGGTCTGGATGACCGGGTACCCCTCCCCATCCCCGCCCCCCTTATCGGAAGGACTGGGTCCGCCACTGCAGAAGGTCATAGGTTCGATCCTTTTGAAAGTCGCCTATTTCAATGAGACTTAACTAATAACCATCATCCTCATATACTTGTCAGGCTTAAAAGTCGCTTTTACTTTTGCATGTTAATCAGGCTATAGTCGCTCAGTAAATTTTGTAACTGTGAAAGCGTTGGGTCAACATGAACTTTGTCTTTTTGTAATACTCTTTCCAATCCCGTTCATTTTATGCAGACATTATACTTGTTTGTGGCCTTATTTGCTCCATCTTTGGCTTTGGAAGCTGGTAAGTAACGTGACTTTGTACCCCACAACCTCCGCGTGTGTCTCTCTACTCTTTATAAACATCATTCACACCTGGAAGAGTCTAGGTACTTCAAGTTTGGGATGGATTGGCGTGGATCTCCCGTAACCTCTACTTTCAGGTCAGGGATTTGACATTGAATGGTTCTAGCAGAGCCAGTTTTGGAATAAAACAGAGTATAAAATCCGTTTTTTGGGGATTCCCCGGTATAATTAAGATCCTGTGACGAAGCATTTGCATAGACCATTTGTATCGTGAAGAGGAAGTCCGAAAAGTAAACAAGCGAAACAATTGAACGTCATGAATCCAATGTAGTCTAGGACATATAAGGGTATCGTTTCCAAGTCTACATTTTTTATCTGCATGCAATGATCTTAGAGTTTTTTTCTCCTGAAAATTTCCATCCTTTCACTAACCGTAAGCTACACGTTCAATGAGCGTGTGGTTCTCCCGCATTGTCATATCTAATTCAGGTTGAATGTTTATGGACAAGATATTGATCTCAGTGCTGGTTCCAGACCTTGAGACCTTAAGATAGGGAGGGGGCCCGGTCATCCACACCCTGCAATAGGGGGGCGGAGTCTCCCAAACCTTTTTCGACCCTTCGGGCCTCAGTTAAGTCTAAAAAAAGGGGGGGGCGGGGGCAGAGCCCCCCCGGGCCCCTCCCCTAGATCCACCAAAGGATTTCCGGTAAATTTTTGCTTGTGGGATCCGTGATCCTAAAAAATTTTGCTTGTGGGACCCGGAATCCCAGAAATATTTTCTTGTGGAATTTAGGGTCCGGAATCCCACTAGCGATTGGAACCCGGAATAAGAGAGATCTGAAATCCAATAGCTGGAATCTGGAATCCAGATGGCAAGGACCCAATATTTGTTTAGAGGGTATAAGGAGTCAAAATGTCATTTGGAACAAATAGTCTTTTCTATTAACTCTAGTTGCAGGTATTCCACTGACAGTTTCTATCCTGGTAACTGGTATTGTCTGTACGTTTTACACGGCATTGGTATGTTAATAATTATTTAATAGTTTTGCCATTGAGGGAGGCTGTTCGTAGTCTACAACCACTAGATGCAAATACCTAAGTAATGTTTGATATAAGTGAACCATGAGTCCCGTCCTACTGTGACGACTTGCACTTGATCGCTTCCTTGTTAGTATAAGTCTTGGAGAGCTCAAAAATGGTCTGATCTCGGACTTCAAAAATTGTCTGGTTTCTTTGATTCTGAGCCCTTTGGATTTGGGATCGCCTTATATGGACCAAACCTTTCCTTGTCGCTGTACAGCGTCTTCCCAGGCCTTTTCGGTCAATGGATTTGGGTGACGTAGCCCTGACGAAAGGCTACTCGAACCACGTGATCCGAAGCAGATAGAACAAAAAAAGTGAGGCAAAGGGCGCTCTGTAATTCATGGCCCAACCCTGGGATGCAACACAACAACCAAAAAGGGCCCTTTGGGCGAAATGGTCACGTGGTACAAAAATCACCTTGTTGGATGGCAAACGACGCAGTGAGACCTTGAAAAGAGAGGATAGAGCGATTTTCGTATCACCTTAGCTTGAAATGAAAACGCGCGAACAAAAAAGAAACAACAAACGAACAGAAATAGAGCGATTTGATTGGTTTATCAAACGGATATAAATACTCGTGGCTTTTGGTTGGTTAAGCGAACGCGCGGATGAAAAAACTTCATGCCCGAGAACTTTCTGGAAATCAATCGATACTTCGCTTTGACGTCATACTGCAACACGATTGGCCAATCGAACAATACCTTCTCCACAATAAGGTTTTCTTTGAAGGGAAAACGAAGAGTCCCTGTTTTGATCTTTTCATTCATTGTCTGATAAAAGAAATAAATGAAAGAAATAACGAACACTTATTTCAAGGTCATACGAAAATCGCTCTATTAGCTGTTTGAATGATGTAACCCCTTTGGTTTTCTTGCCCTCTGCTTCGATAGCCATCCAGCAAGGTGCTGAATGTATCATGTTATTGTAACCGTATCGCGTGCAAACGGACCATAAGGTTTTGTCTAAAGGTAGGTTAGAGTGCGTGTTCATGAATATAAAAACAAAAAATGTTAATTTAAGTTTATGTTTATACAGGGCGGTCTCAAGGCAGTTATTTGGACAGACGTGTTTCAGTCAGTTATCATGTTAGCTGGTATGCTGACTGTGGCGGTTACTGGCACCATTGAAGTAGGTGGTGTGAAAAAAGTCTGGGAGATCAATGAAAAATATGGCCGAATCAACTTTTTCGAGTAAGTACAGAAAGATTTACTTTTAAATCATTACCAGTCGTAAAGAACTAAGCTTGAGTTCTATGCGCTTTGAAAGGCATGACCCCTCTCCAATTCGCACGTAAACGTGACGATCAAGGTGAGTAAGATACCAACCCCACCCCTTATCCAATGTTAACAGAAACCTCTCACTTGGAACAAAATGTTGGTTAAGGGAGTTTCCTAAGTTTTTTTATATAGTCAAACCTCAGGCTCTTCTCGACCGTTAAAATTCCAGCGAAAATCATTAACATTACCAGAGGTCATTTGTTTTAGTGTTCATCGAGTGATTCAGTTCGAGTTTCACCAAAGTTTTAATTCAAGCTGGCCAACGAGGAGCAGGTTTTCCCCTTCAACAATTCAAGTTTCTTGATGATTTTTATATATCCAAAACTAAAGCCCACTCTTTACCTATATAACTATTATTTTTTCCTTGTGAGAAAGGTGTTTTAGGACGGTCAGGCGTTGAGGCCGTTTGCTTCCCGAAATTCCCCACACGGTCGTGTTTTCCTTCATGTGCGTAATGACAAGCCTACTCGATAAAGTGTAATTTGATTTTTGTTTTTCTTTTAGTTTCAATCCAGATCCTAGGGTTCGTAACACCTTCTGGTCGTTAACTATCGGATTCACAATCACCCTGGTTCCAATCTGGTCTTTGAATCAGTACTTTATCCAGCGATATCTCGCCGTGAAGACTCTCAGGGATGCAAAAAAGTAAGCCTAAACAAGAAGTCTTCTCCTTCTTCTTTCTTCACTTTAGAAAGGAAACGTGGTCGTGTCAACTTTTGCAAGGACTTCTGGGACTTAAAAAAAAATGGCCAATAGCTGAGCGGCACGTCCCCAGGAACAATCCCAGAAAGAACTGCGGGGCGCATTTTGGCTCCAGTTCCCTTCTCGTTTTCAAAGTGGCGAAGGAGTTTATCGGTCACGTGACCATTGAGTTGCAATTTTTTTCCTCCACAGAGGAAAAAAATCGAAAATAAAACATTCTGTTAAATTCCGGGCCTGGTTAAATTCTGTGCTGATGTATGTCCCCCTTTTAAGATTTCTAACTGCAAAGTACAAAATCTTTGGATAATTTGACATATGTTGTGATAGGGACATCAGTCACATAAACCTGTTCCCTTAAGTTTTTAACAAATAGTTTTCTTCTTCCTTGTATACTTAACATTATTTTGAATATTTTTTAGAGTTGTATGGCTCAATATTCCATGCCTTCTAGTGGTGGTGACTATATTAGCTTTGGATGGAATGGTTATATTTGCTAATTACGCGGGCTGCGACTTGTTTGTACAAGGCAAGATTACAAGAGGGGACCAGGTGAGACAGTAACCTTAAACCTTAAAAGGGGGTGTCAGTAAAACGCGGACTCGGTGTCTATCTTATTTTTAAAGAATGCTGTTTTGGGGTCAGTGATAGGATTGACACTAACCCTACGTACTATTTGCTGTCTTTTTAAAAAGCTAAAACTTTTTTGCATCAATTAAATCTCAAAGATAATGATCCAGTGTTGTTATTTAAGAGCACCTTTAGGCATTGAAACTGTTTCCTGTCGTTTGTTGCAAAGGGTAGCAAGGATGGACATGGATTAAAACTTGAAAAATGTTGGGTCAACTTTTTCAAGTTGTAATGCTATGCCCACAAAACTCGCCATGTTGAAAATTGACCATACTCTTCACTCCGACTTTTAGATAATTTTTCCGTACAAGACTGACTCCTAATAACTTGAAGTCCTTTCCGAGATATGCAGACGATACAAAACCCATCTGAACTAGAGAATGAATGCATGATCTGATTACATCCCATGATCTCTCTAACGCCTGTTTAAATCACGCGTTCTCTCGCGTTATCTCGTTTACAGCACGCCCCCAAAAAGTATTATATTGTTGGTAGTTCCTGCTGAAATTTGTCTGATATCTCCTTCATAATTATACAGGAGCATTTTGCGTATGAGTAACGACACTGGAGTAGTGACTTCAGCACAGAATTGACCTTAACCCTTTAAGTCCTGAGATACACATACAAATTCTCCAGACTGTTCTCAATACATCACTTTTAAGAACAGTTGAGAGAATTTGGTTTAAGATCAAAGCGTTCTCACATTGGTAATCAATTACGTAATTCTCATAACCTTTACTCTTGATGATCTACTGATGATGTTAGGAGAAAATTGACGTTGGTCACTCTTGGGACCTAAAGGGTTAAACAGCAATATCCTCGTGACATAGCCCCTTTACTGCGAAATTCATTGTATCACGCTGCGCGATAGACTCCGAGCAGTCTCCTTTTTTTCTTGGTCCGTCGAGCCAAAGGCGGGAGACACGCAAATGACCACTTCGTGTCTCGCGGCCGCACGTGCACTCCCCTCCCTAAATCTGAAGAAAAAGAGAGATACGCAGTCTAGCGGCGCGAAAGTACTTTGAGTTTTTATGTTCCGTCAATCATCTTGCCGGACCTTTTAAGAAACACAAAATATCAACAAAAAAGTGGAACACGAGCCGCGGGCGAGTGTGTATGTCACTGTGTGTTTTTTGCCCGGGCCAATAGGCGCTTGCCTTTTTGACTAAGTATTTCATGACCTGCGCATGCGTAATGAATTTTTTTTCAGGTGGTTCCATACTTCGTTATTAACAAACTGGGACATTTAAGCGGCTTGTCAGGATTGTTTACTGCTTGTCTTTACAGTGCCGCGCTAAGGTAAAAAGAACCGTCAATAAATAATATATTTAATGCTTTTGCCATTAGATACGTTCCCAAGTTCAACTCTAAAGGCACGAATATCTGTAGCAAGAATCTAAGACCAATACAATAACTATCCCTACGGTAAAATGTGGCGTTAGCTATAGAATCTCTTTTAACAAAAAGCTCGTACTGGAACTTTTTAAAGAATTGAAGCTTGCTTATGGAATCCGGAATCCCACTAACGATAAAAATTCCAGTGACATGGAACCGGGAATCCACGGCGTAAAATCCAGAATCCAAGACTGGGGGGCGAAAGGCCAGTACAGCACAAGAGGAGAGGTGTAATAGTTTATACTTTTAGTAAGCGGTAGCTTTGGCAAAGCTACACTAAGGTAAACTGACTGTTTTATCTGCCACCTGTTGTAAACTAGCCTCCCACGCTGACGTTCGTTTGGTATGTCACGCAATCCTCCTCTGGGACAGGAACGCGTGACGAAACCCTAAGAGGGTGTGCATAGGAGGCTGGTCGTAAACTGAAAAAATGAATAATTGATTAACTCAGTTTTCTGTTAGCACGATATCGTCGGCACTGAGCGGCATGTCCTTAATCATGCTGGAGGATTTCATTAAGAAGAAGGTCAAGCTCACTGATAACGAAGCTACTAAAATCAGTAAAGTTATTGGTGAGTTTAAATTAAGAGAAGCGTATTCTCTAATGTGGTTTAACAACCTCGTTTGTTGTTAAATGGAATAAGAAAAACAGGAAATTTTCGATGAGGATGTTTTCATGTGCCTGTGGAGCCTGTACGAGCTAGAGGCTTGTGGATAGGAGGGGGGAGTTACTTCTCCAAGTTTTTATCATTTTACTTTATTATTTTTTACATAGGAGCTTAAAACTCCCCTGACAAACTCTTAACCATATATATACCCAACAATCCCAAGAATTCGTACGCTAGTTTTACTTTCTATACGCAAAGTCAGAAACATGTTATTAAAGTTCAGACCAAAAACGTCAAGTTGTATATTTATTTCGACTTCCTCTTGGGTGCGGGGGGCGGGAGGGGGGAAGGGGGGAGTCGTGTGGTTGAAGGGGTAGGGATGGGGGAAAGCGCATTCCCCGGGCCTCAAATGTTTAACGAAGATCGTTACGTGGTTTCCCTATCTAGGAGTATACTAATCGAATATGCCATACAACCATGATGGGTTAGTCTCTAAAAGTGCTTTACCGCTTTGTTTTACTCGTGAAACCAGCTTTCAGCGTTTACAGCCATGACTGTGTCCTAGCCTAAATAACGACGGAAACAAATAGAATTAAACTATTCCTTCTTACTTTTAAAGCTGTTGTGTTTGGCGCCATTACCATGGCGGGTGCATTTTCTGTGAAATACGCTGGGGCTATGGTACTACAGGTAAGAAGGAATACATCAAGAAAAAATCTATTTTATGATGTACTGAAATATACATACTTGCATCACCATCATCGTCATCATCACAATCACCAACACCGACAACACCAAAATGTTCATCACCTTCACCACAACCATCAACATCATTGTCATCATCATCATCATCATCATTGATCATCATCATCACAACCACCACCACCACCACAGGCGGATTTTCTGCTATTTTTAAAGAATTTAAGTAAAATAAATAGCACCTATATAGCTGCAAATGTCCCACCTTCCTCCATTCCGAATTCACCCTGACCACTACTATGATCGTCACTATTACCACCCCCACCATCATCATCATCACCACCAACACCGTCAACATTATCATCATCATCATCACCGTCATCATCATCATCATCATCATCATCATCATCATCATCATCATCATCATCATCATCATCATCATCATCACCACTGCCATCATCATCATCATCGTCATCATCATCATCATCTACAGCCCCATTAGGCAGGATCACCAGTATCAGTATCATTGCCACTGTCAGTAGCCGCAGCAGCAAAACCATCCTTTGAAACCATGAAACTTAAGGGATCAGGAAAAGAACATTGTCTTCATGGGGTCCTAATTCGTATACCCAAGCCTCGTGATCATCATTTTTGTTGTTACAGCTACCGTTTTTAACGTTAAGGTAGAACTGTAAAAAGAAGCCAACACATGTAAAGATATTATCCTGAGTGTATTGTTAGTATAGGTAATAGCATGATTTGTAGTGATATTTGGCGTAAATACCACGAGTGATATTTCAAAACTTCACGAGCCGTTAGGCGAGTGAAATTTGAGAGAATTTTGAAATATCACGAGTGGTATTTGTACCAAATATCACGTACGAATCATGCTATTATTGGTTTATACTACTACCCGCAAGAGGTTTGCAATTTTCACATGTAGGTATTTCAAGTTAAGCTGAAATACCACTGCTCTAAGCCAATCAGATTGCAGAAATTTCTCATGTAGCAGTATAAGCACTGTAATTTACCCATAGTAAGTCTCAGGTAAAGTCTCTAATATTCGAGTTGATTACCAAGTGAACACCTTATTTTCTAATCTCTTTATTTCTTTGCAGCTTGCATACAGCATTTCTGGACTCACTGGAGGAATTATGCTATCTCTATTCCTGGCAGGGTTTTTTATTCCAAGGGCCAATGCAAAGGTAAATTGTTTGGCTGTTGTTATTTTTCCGGTAACAATTCATGACCCTGACTGGCTTTATTAGGTATCATGAACGTCCGGAATCAAAAGGTAGCATATATTTCAGACGATTACTTCGAGTCGTTTTTACTCTTTCAGGGAGATTGAAAGAAACTAATGAGAAGGTTCATCAAGCGGAATAGGAATTGATTGAATTGAAGAATTACTTGATTTATTCCTCTTGCTCTACTTGGAAGCATAGTACATCGAAGACAACGAGATAAAGATTACGGTTGTGGGTGGTGGTCTTAGCCTAGTTTCGTGACATACTGATACACCTCAATTAGACCAATTATGCATCCTAGATCTTATCTCGTATCCCTGTGGGTTCTATTGTAGAGCCTACCGCATAATGTTCTGTCAGTCCTTCCTCAATGTATGTCAAATCCAACCCAATTCCTTCTTCTGATGGTGGCTTCAATCTTCTCTTGACCCCTCCAACAGTTTTTCATTGGAGATTGCCCTTGGCCAGAAGACACCCAAAATTTCTCTCATCTTTCGTGATGTCTGGAGTTTGTCCTATTAATTTTGCATTTGTTATGTTCACTGTGACGACTGTGCGACTGCGGGAGCAGCTTTTACAGATATTGTGAAGTTTATAAGTATCAAAATTCCTTTAGTAATTCCTCCAATTCTGTCCGGTAAGCGCTTCTATCTCGAACAAAACCCCATTAAAATATCATTATAACTGTGACAAAAGACGGATCGCAACGCACCTATCCTATCACATTTAGAGTGTTAATAGCAACTGACATCACGGCTTAACTGACAGACGACCAATAACATCTCGACCAATAAAGTAACTAGATTTAATTACCGCCAAATGATGTGACCTGATAAAACTCTCTGACTGGTGATTTTTTCGCTGCCGTCGCCGTCGTAGATGCTAAAGCCCCATATCGTGTCTTTAACGCAGGGTATGTACATGGGTGTTTTCGCTGGCTTTGGTTTGGTTCTTTGGGTCTTCATCGGCTCCGTCCTGTATCCGCCTAACAGTTACCCAGGCGTTCGCTCGGTCAGGGAGTGTTCATTTTATGAAGACGCCCTGGCAGCTAACTCTACTTTTGCAAACGGTACATACGACAATAGTTCGGCAAAGATCTTCCGCAAATATGGTGACGGACTTATCAGAAATTCTTTTAAACCATACACAAGGTACAGTAAAACAAAAACAAACTTGGTCGAATTCACTTTCTAGAATTCTGGGACTTTTACTAGACACTGGGGAAAACATTAGGCTGATTTAGCAACAGAACGGAAACGTCTGTTGACGACTGCGCGCGCAAATCAAACAACTGGATTGTTTTGGATTGACCAATGGGAGGGCGGCAAATTTGGTACCGGAAGTCGAGTTTAGTCCTTTCTGGGCGCTTACCCGTCTTCAAATGACGTTCTCGTCCTGTTGCTAAATCAGCCTATTAGCCAATCTGAGCGGTGCGCGCGCAGCAACGATCCCAGAAACAACTGCGGTGCGAATTTCGGCGCCAGTTCCCTTTTTGTTTGTAAATTGGCCAACGCCTCCTAAAACGGTCAATCCCCATGTGATACGCGAGTTTTATTCAAAACATCCTGACGCAACGTGATGATTGATTGCTGCTAACATGGCATGGCCTTAGTGTCTTTGTTTGGTGATAGAGCTCACGAAAGAACTGTGGTTTTATTGAAGTAGTGCCGGAATTAACAGTGTCCAGAATTAATCTGATATACCGAGAATTATAGGAAGCCGATATAAATGGCTGCAAAATAGTTAAGCTCGCTTCTTATATTTATATCTGTTATATCTTAGTGTTTGACTTATCAGACAATGGCTAAATACCAACTATTACGTGTGTAGCTAGGGCCTTAATAAGAGGATATAAGCATACCCAAGAGGTCAAACACCGGTCTTTATGCTTATCACTGTTAGCCATGCTTTACAGAAACACTCATGCAGCGCGTTTGTAACTGTTTTCCCTTCTTTTTTTATTGTAGCAACCCATTTGCTGATCTTTACAGTTTGTCATACCTGTGGTTTAGTACTCTGACCTTTGTTACAACAACTGTTGTTGGCTTGACTGCGTCTTTACTGCTTGGTAATTTTTGTCCTGATTTTGACTTATTGATTAATGATTGATTTGAGTTGCCAATTGCCCATTTCCGAGTTGGTCCAAGCCTCAAGCAAGTTTCAAAGCGAGGCTAAGTGCGAAGCCATTGATATGAAAGCGAGTTTTTATTCTCATGCAAATAAAACTCGTTTACACAAAAAAGGTTTTGCACCTAGCCTCGTTTTGAAAGTTAGTTTTGGAAACTTGGAAATGACCTATTGCTCTGCCTCTAACGGCATAAATAGGTGTTGTACCCACAGTCTTGGTGGTTGTTTTCTAAGTTCTTTACAGTCTCATTTGCCAAAAAATGCCTTCTCTCAACTTTACGGATTGTGTCCCGGATCAGCAGGAACATAGTACATGCATATATAGCGATGCCCGCCATAATGAATGTCGACCGCTGACCTCTTCTGAGGGCTCGATTTCCGCTGCCCTCTCGGTCTGGGGCTTCATTTCCTGAACAGTGGCTGGTAATCGAGCCTAGGCTTTTACTCCAAATCATATCTCGGGTAAGGCTAAACTGGCTTTTAATCTCTTTTGCTTCGTTAAGTTGTAGTGAAATCAGGGTTGTACAGCGTGGGCCTCTTTTAGTAAAATGACAATTGGATTATCAATGATACTATGATTATCAACCAGATATTGTAAACTATTGTTCTTGATTGTTTGTGTGTTTTTATTGTTGTTGTTGATGATGATTTTTGTTTCTTCTGTTGGTCTTTAACATAGAAACCAAGGAAGACCGAAAGAGGCAAATAAGTCCTAAGCTATTCTTCCCACTGAAGGCCTGGCTATATGGATTTCTGCCTGGTCACCATTTCAGCTGGGAAGAAGAGACTTACTGTGATGAAACTGATATTGAACTGAAGGTATATTTTCTGACACGTTTTACTGAACAACTCGTCTTTTGAATAAAACGCTCACAGGACCGGATATAACTCCTGTTTGAGCATGAAGGACCTTTAGAATATTACTCCTACCTTCTTGAAGGGGTGCAAGTCCATTACAGGGTTACCCCTGGCAGTAAATCACCAGTAACTACTTTACCCGTCGGTATAATATAGCTCCCATTGGTGCCGCTATACTACCCCCTAGACAATATGCTCGTGCACCACAAAGTTACCAAAGCGGTATATCACCATTTTTTTTTACCCCTGGGTATAAAACAACACCCAAAAGTAACCCCTTCCCCCCATCCATCCGGACACGATGTTAGTGCACCACAAGGCTTCCCTTTCAGTATATCACCAGTATCTATTTTCCCTTGGCTACAATAAAGTACCAAGTAGTATCGCTACTCCCCCTACGGCTTGACAAAATGCTAGCGCACCCCAGGTTACCCAAGCAATATATCACACGTTAGATATTTTACCCCTAGCTATTGCAATACAGAACCAAGTAGTATTGCTTCCTCCCTCCCCTCCGTGGAGAAGACGCTAGCTTACCACAGGGTTACCCCAACAGAATTTATAGCCTTCCTCACTTGATGAGGTACAAGTCCATCACTTATTTACCCAGCCGTATATCAACAGCCCTAATTTTTACCCCTCGGTACAATTCAGCATTGAGTAGTACTGTTACTTCCCCTGGATGGGATGTCATTCCATTGCAGGGTTACCCCCAACTGTCTGTTGTCCCTTCTCTTTCAAAACCGTAATTCAGGTTATGTTCTTTTATTATTCACATTTAAAAGTATTATTTTCTTTTAACATTAATTTGTTCTAAATTTGGTCACTTATTTCAGAAGACGTCTGGCAAAGGAGAAGATACACGTTTCTAGTTAAATGAATCAGGACACATGTAACCACCTCTTCTATTCTACTGTTGACAACGTGAAGAAATTGCTGCCACCACCACCGCGTTAGAAAAAGAACTTACATTCATTAACCGCAAAAAATTGGTAACTCCCTGTGTGCCATGGTATTTGTTATTGTTTTTCATCTAAAAGGCACATGTTTAAGGTCATGATTTATTGCTAAGCTTAAAAGCATTGTGTCAGCTGCTTGGCTCGGTCAAAAACATGGTCACAACAATGCCAACTGTATAATCAAGCCCATAAGAAGTCCACTCCAATAATATCTAATAACAAAAAATCTTATATCCAGATATAGCTTGAAGTTTGAAGTTTATTAAGGTTTTAAAACGTGGCATGTTAAAAGGTCGCGCGCGCCTTAATGAATAAGTAGATTCGTGCGGTGCAGGCAATAACTTATAAAGGCGGTGATTATTGTCATTTACAATTGTGTGAAAAAGTGACTCACATATTTCGTCATGGTGTGTTACTAATTCCTTAAAGTTCGTCATAACAAGAGCTTGAGGTTACTGTATTCTTTTCTACAGTAAAAATAGGTTCGCAGAAATGCGAGTTAGGCTGTTATTGCTAGAAAAAGTTGGGCTGTTGCGGCAAGATGCTGTCACTCAACAAAGCGGATTTTATGACGTGAAAGTCGTTAGTTTTAGCAAACGCCTGTGCAATAAGAGATCGCCTCGATTTCATTTCTCTTACTAACAATGCTGGTTTTGTTGTTTATGGCTTTTAACGTAAGTATATATTCTCAAGCATATATTCATTGTGGATTTCACTATGTTCCTTAAGATTTCAGCCATGTGCGCTGACGGAACTACGCTGTATATTAAATAAGATTTTTCTTTTTTTTTCTCTTTTGCATTTCATTGAGCTATTTTAAGGAAAAATAGTCTGCAAATATTGTAAAATAAAAACGGTGAGTTGTATCAAGAGAGGATAGCCCCTTTATCCTCTCTTGGTTGTATCTTATTCCAACCGAAGCCCTTGTTTTCAATCAACCTTGAATGAGAATGAGGCAACTCCAGAGTAAGAGGAAGCGAGAGCTCCAAAAAACTAGACGCGGGGGTCATCAATTCAGAGCTGTTTCAAACGTCGTGCTACTGCCGTGCCGAACTAAATTGATTGACGTTTGAAACCAAGTCTTCCTACTGCCGTGTAGGCTTTGCCGTGCTACACGGCAGTAGCTCGACTTGGTTTCAAACGTCGCGCTACTGCCGTACCGAACTCAATTCATAAAGTATAAATACAGTAGAATACATTTAAAAGTTTGCTAAACCGTTTCTTTATTTTTGTGTTTTGTTTTCGGCAACTGCCGTTCTATTCGACTGATATAAATTCGACGTCTGAAACCAAGTCGTGCTAGTGTCGTGCTGCAGTCGAGCGAGCTTAGTACGGCAGTAGTACGACATTTGAAACAAGCCTCACTGTCACAGGTACGTACACGGCCTACAAAAAATTACCATTACCAACTAGTCCTGGCGTTTTTGTTCCTGAGCGCCAGAGTGAGAATAGGAATTCGCTTGATTGACAAATGAGCTCAGTAGCAATCTTACGTTTAGTTTCCACAATAAAACCGTTCTGGTCGTCTCGGAGAATGGGAAACCAAAACCATTGCAAATCACACATTTTTATGCCAGAAGAAATTTTGAGCTAGTTCCTAGATAATTATAAGATGATCAGGTCAAAAGTTTTTTTTTCCCATTACCTTTAAAATTCTACTTTCCATAAAAATGTCTCATTTTCCATTTTCGTTTCCAATGCCACTTTCCATCAACTTCCAAAAACACTTACAAGGACAACAAAAAAGAACTACTTTGATTAAAGTGCACAAAAAGGAAGGAAAGATGGTACGATTTGCGGGGCACGTTAAGAATATAATCAAATGTAACTGGAATGCAGCTCATTATTGTAGGCAATTTTAAATTTTAAACGAAGACCTCCCGTGGAGTTTTGCTAGACAGCGAGTTTTGATTCTGTGAACCAAACAGGACCTCAAGGCATTCAGCAGCTAAAAAGAAAGAAACGTAAAGGACAGAATCACTGATAGTTCGGAAATGCCTCGTATAAACAGGCCATTTCCGAGCCATTTCCAAAAAACCCTCACTTTCAAAACAAGGCTAAGCACAAAACCTTTCTTGTGAAAATGAGTTTTATCTGCATCAGAATAAAAAACCATTTTCACATCAATGGCTTCGTATTTAACCTCGCTTTGAAACTGGTGCAACTCAGAAATGGCCCATTGGTTACTCGCTCGGCTGTACGCAGATGCAGTGCGTGAAAATTTTTTTTAGCACCACTGGGAAACGAAAAGGTACATACCAAAATGAACGCCAAAATAAAGCGCACTTACATCTTGACCATTGTTGTTAAATAAAGCATCTCTGAAGTTCTTGACATCCATCATGGCCACGAGGTTTTTCAATATGAAACCTTCGCAAAAGGTCAGTAACTCCCCTGCAGTACACAACTGAAATTTCACCAAAGCAAAACCTTAATACCACTACCCCTCATATATCAAAATTTAAATTCTCATTTGATGCCCTAAAACGTTTCCTATTGAAAAAGAGGGGACAAGTTGTTGAAGTATCAACTCAATTAACCTTTGGTGGCTATATCCTTAATTCTTGTCACGACCCTGTTTTATGAAGCATTGGTATTACAAAGAGAAATTTTATGCTGATCACTCTTAAGGTGATGTTACACGGCACGATTCGCAACGACGATTTTTAGAGCGACACAGCGTTGCAACATTGTTGCGACATTGTTTCGAATAGTTACAACATTGTTCCAACATTGCAACGCTGTGTTGCGCTAAAAATCGTCGTTGCGAATCATCTCGTGTAACATCACCTTTACGGCTTATACCTCAAAATGGTCAGTGGGCACGACCAAACGTGTTAATAAGTATAATTCCGGTGAACGCACTGCTATGAACGACTTTGTCAGGAGAGTCAAAAGGGTATAAGATTCTGGGGAACTACCTACCCATCCCTCCCCTCATCCATTTTTAACACCTTTTTACCTAAAAAAAATACTTCGTTAGGGAAGGGGTAGGTGAGCAGATTTGCAGAATCTTCTACTGATCTGCAATGTTATACTCACCCTGGCGTTTGCATACGTATCCATGACATTTTCACAGTAAAGATGGTCAGCAGCAAGACGCTCGCAGTGACGCTTCAATGCGTATAACATGAAGAAGTGAGAAGCTTGTAGCAACTAGTAAAAGAAAAATGAAGTACTTTTATAAAAGGCCTGGTAACAGGTGAATTAACCCAATGTCCCAAGAGTGACCAACATCAATTTTCTCCAAACAAAATCAGTACATAATCAAGGGAAAAGATTATGAGAACTGATTGATAGAGCGATTTCCGTATGACCTTGAACAATGGTTTCGGTAAGTACTCGTTATTTGTTTTATCAGCCAATGGATGAAAAGATCAAAACATGGCTTCTTAGTTTTCCCGCCAAAGAAAACGCTAATAGGGAGAAGGCGTTGTTCTACTGGCCAATCGTGTAGAAGTATGACATCAAAGTGAGGTATCGATTGATTTCTAGAAAGTTCTTCGGGCATGAAGTTTTTTCACCCGAGTGTTTGCTTAACCAACCAAAAGCAACGCGCGTTTGTATCCGTTCAATAAACTAATCAAATCGCTCTCTTTCCTTTCGTTTGTGTTTTCTGTTTCGTTCGCGCGTTTCATTTCAAGGTCATACGAAAATCGCTCTGCCCAAAGGGGAAATTCTTTGATCTTTTATCATATTCTCTCAACTAATTCTCTAAGAAAATGTATAGAGAACAGTCTGGAGAATTTGTATGTGGATATTGGGGCTTAAAGGGTTAATTGACAAAGTGTGGACAACTTTGACTGACCTGCAGTATTGTTGTTTGGTTGTGTGGTTGGTCCACCGTTCCGCTGTACAGGAACTGAATAACAAGCTGAGAAGATGACGAAGATTTTTCAGCATCACGTTTACGGCAGACGGCTATTGTCAGATTCAAGTCGACATTTTATGAATCAGGAAATGAAAGGATAAAAACTGTACCAAACAACACTAATGGATCTGACATGAGACTTCATATTTTTGTGTAGAAATTATGAATAGTAAATGACATGTTGAGGGAAAACTTGCCCACCTGGTAGAAATTGAAGTCTGCCGTTTGTCGTAAACATGATTCTTTTTTATTATTATTTCACAGGAGTAGTACTACCGGTTAGTAGAATAAATAAATGATATCCTTATGGACTCAACAACTCAATTGTCGTTTTTGGAATCTTGAATACCGAATGAATGTTTCCAGAATATTTCCACTGACTGTCGCTAATCTCTATGAATACAAGGACCTATTCTCCCGACTTCTTGTGTTTTTCCACCGTGAATGACCATGTTCGAATAACATTGCCTCCAAAACGACCATTTGGACGTCGAAAAAGATCAATGTCTATGTGAAGTAAAGGTTAGAATTTGACCGATTCACCCTTAACCTTCCTCATATTCCCTTCTCGATCATAAGCAAAGCTATTGACGAAATTAACTACACTCATACTAATCTGGAAGATATTCAGTTACTACAGGTAATATATATCGGGGGCACCTGCGCAAAAAACGTTAATTCGTTGCCGGTGCCCGCTTTACTACTGCTAGCTCTGTTTGGTATAGAAAATACAGTGTATCAACAGACGTCCCTTTCGGGTGTATGCCACTTGAAGGGATGTCTGAAATTCAGACTACATTACAGTCTGAAGGTATAATAAATTAACTTTCGTTCTCTTATAACCCCTTCTCCATCTTGAAACCTTCACTTTTATGGCACTGTTTTCCTTTTTCAACGCGAAGGACGAGCTCAGTCGGTAGAGCGTTTGACTGCAAAGCGGAAGGGTTCGCTTCCCGGGGCCAGACCAGTAACCAGGGTGTTAAATCAACTGAGAAAACAAGGCCAAAGGATCTCAGTTTCTAGTTACGTCAAGATACCTTAAACCTCTTGGACGCTGTTGCAAGTATGATTTTGTGGGCGTAAAATGGTCGTCCCTCAACAAGGAAGGTGACATCAGACATTTCAGGGCTGTTAATATAATCTGGACCTGCGTATGAAATTGTAAGTACATATAAGGAATGTGCAACTTTTTAAGGCGAATAATACACGGCTCAATATAGTTCAACATTCGTTGCTCAGCCGAAACAGATAGTGAGTGATGATGCAGTTTGTAGTACGAGTATCACGCGAATTCAACATTCATTGAAGGTAATAATGGAAACTTTATTTGTGTTTTGGAATGTACAATTGTAAATCTCGCTACGTATAGGCAATTTACAAATGCTGCTTGAGATTGGATTACTTATAAAAAGAAAAAAGACAAAAAACAAAAAACAAAAAAAAACAAAACAAAACAAAACAAAACAAAACAAAAGCCAGAAAAAAAAAATCAAAATTGCATTGAGTCTGGGCTATCCCAGTTCCTATTTCTACAACAAAAGATATAATATGTTGCTCTAATGGCTATATTTATCATTTTCTTGATTATATAACGTTGCTGCTTTTTGTCAATGCTAATGTCATTCATCATGTCGAAGAACGTGGAGCATTAATAATAATAATAATATATTTTAAGAGGAGGTCTCCATCACTAAAAGTTGTTTTAAGGAAGGTTCTCTATTAAAAATAAAATACTAAAACTAAAATAACATTAAAAATCATAAAATTAAATATTAAAAGCGAGTAGCACAAAAATTAAGAACTTCGTTAAAAATACTCACATAAAGCTAACCTACGAAGAATTGCCTAAAAACCTATTCAAATTTCTCTTAAAAATCATGTCCGGCATTGGTCTGTTAAGTTCAATAGGCAGGGAAGACCAATTGTTGAAATCTCTAAAATATGTAGTCCGTCTTCCCCATTCCGTTCGCGGCTTGGGAAGTCTAGGCAGAAAACCATTCCTATTATTATAGTTATGTAACTGACTTAAAGGGTCCAAAAAATATCAAAGTGTTCTGGAACATCTCCCTTGATTGCATTCTGAACCTTTAGACATCGATGTCCAAAGCGCTTTCCATGAAGTGGAAACCCTTTCAACGATGCCAGGGCCTCGGCTGACGACAATTTGCCACCCGCGATCTTCTTGGCAAACCAATTTTGGAAAGCCAGTATTTGTTACATTTCTGTTGTTAAGCCAGGCTGATCTCCCCAAATAGTGTCCGCATAATCCAAGTGCGGAAGCACCAACCCAGTAAAATCAAAAAGGTACAGCTCTGCCTTAGGTATCGCCAAGATTCTTATCTATTCTTACTAAAATTCCCGTAGCAACTCTTACTAAGATTCTTATTTGTTTGTTAGACGAAATAGATCCTATCTCTGTATTTTTGTTGGTAACGTTCAAAATCTTCAAAGACCTAACCCATCATTCAACACGCTACGATTTACTGATTGGAACTAAGAAGTAGCAACATCTTTTGATCGACAAATATCAGGCCGTGTGATGTTCGTTTTGGAAGTCTTCGCGTAAACAAGAGCCTCGCCTCTTTGCAATAGGGCAGGAGCCCATAACCCGGAGCGAGCCACTCCCATACCAGGGACGGCGTTTTTAGGGACCAGTTTATTTTTAGACACATTTCGAGGCACTTTTTTCCGCCTAAATAGAATCTCCACCATGTCTATGTGCGTGTTCGAAACATAATTTATCAAAAAGGAAAACTGAACGTTATCAAAAGGCAAAGAATGTCATTTTTAGGTATGCAGGTTTTGCTGACTGGTTCGGGAAATTTTAAAGATATTCAAAATTCGCGCCAAAACTGTTCTAAAAATAAACTGGTCCGTGAAAACGCCGTGACACGAGCGCATGAAAGTTGCTTGCTCCGGGTTATGGGCTACTGAATAGGGTTAGATAATTTTGCGCTTTCCTTAGTCTTGACAAGCATTAATAGACGCTCTGAACGTACGCAATCCAACGCTGTCAAAAAATCCCGTCATCGTGATGTATTGTAATGAAACTGGGTAGCCTGTGTTCTTACCTATTCTGATAGACGCTTGCGTAATTGGGAGTTCTTTAATTTCTTGAAGTGGTTCGCTACCAAAGCAGTTTGACAACACAGAAGCAAGTTCTTTTGAAAGGGCAAAATCCTAAACAACAAAAGAAGACTTTTAAGTCAATGTCGGCTCTTAAAATCAATGACAGCTATCAATGTAACCTATCAATGTAGACTCTTAAAAGAGCCTACATTGATATCAGTAAGGCCCCGTCCACACGTATCCGGAGATTTTTGACCGCAAATTTTTTTTATGCGGATACAAAAATATCTGCGTCCACACGTAGCGTATACGAATCGTATACGACCGTCCACACGTATCCGATTCGTATCCGGACATCTCAAAGGATTAGTCAACAGAGCATGCGCATTAAGACTGGTTCTGATACTGTGACGTCAGCGTATACAAAAATATACGGATACGAGCGTCCACACGTATCCGGATACACCGCGTATACTTTCCATATTACACCGAGTGTACACGCTAGGT